CTGCTGCTGTTTGAGATCTTGTATTTATGTCCTGAGAAATGTTTATTTTTCTTTTTCCTTTCACAGGACCTAGATGATATAGAAGATGAAAATGAACAATTGAAGCAAGAAAATAAAACCCTCTTAAAAGTTGTTGGACAGCTGACAAGGTAGAAGATTCAAGCCTCAATGAGGAAAGATTTAAAAACTACTGATTGAACGTTAAGGTCAATATAGTAATACTTCCTGTGTTGCAGTATGTTATAATAACTGTCTTTATATTTATTGTTAGGAAACCAGATGAATGTTTATTTTCATAGTACTTTCTTCTTCATTCAATGAAATGGCATCAAATTTGGGGTATATTTTTAACTTTCTTTTCACATAAGAATAATTAAATTTTTTGACATTTCAAAATATGAAGTTCAAAAATGTTTGGGTTTTGTATCTTCAGATTACATCTGGATAAATTACAGTCATTTAAAATTCATAGCACCAGGATCACTTTCAGTCCACGTGGGTGTATATTTTTGAAATGAATGGAAGCAATACATATAAGCTTTGTTTACACAGATCCAAAATATATATTTTGGGAAATACTTCCTTTTTTGTTTAAGCAGCTGTACAGTGGATGCCTTATTACTGATGTATAACATTTTGCAGATTGATTACTTGCTCTAAAACTCTTGTATGTTGAGGGTTTTTTACCGTATCTGAAAGACTGACAATAGTAGAGAGTAGCAATTTTTTTTTCTGTATAACAGTATTCTGGCAGGAGGGGGAGGTTTTATTAAAACAAAAAAAGAACCAAAACCAAAAAAACAATAAATCACCTGTGGTATCAGCATTAATGAGTTCTTAGAATCATATTGAAGTTCTGCGCTGCAGTTTATTTTAAAGCTTTTGCTTGAGCAATGAAATGCACGTTTGGTATCAGACAGTAAGTTTGTTTGCTGTGTTGAGAATTCAAACAAAGCCTGGAGCTTTCATTTTAGCAGAGACACTTTTGCAATACTCTTCTACCTAAAGCTGTCATCTTAAAATTTGTAGTGATCATAACCAATATGAGTTTTCTGATGTTTTCATTTTTTAAGCTGAGTGAAAATTTTGTACATAACAAAGTAGAGAGACATACAAGTGATTCATGCCCTTTTGAAACATCAAATGGTTTAAAAAACCCTTTTGTCCTTGATTTTAAACTAACAAGGTGTTTAAAAAGTGCCTGTTTAGATGTTACAATCCGGTTATGACTGCGTACTGATTCTTCTATAACATGATAGTAGACAAAATTTTCATTTGACATTAACCCACAGACCTCAGTTAACACTTCTCTCCTAAAATTCTTGTTAGGCTGAAATTTGATGTACTTTATTTCATCTTAATACAGCACATTTTTCATTCCTGATCAGAATAAATGAATATGTCATTTAAGTCAGGACACTATAAATGAAAACATTTCGAAGAGTCCAGGCTTTTTCTTGACCATTTTGAAGTTTGGTGTCAGAAAGTTGCATGCATATAGTTTTTGTTACCTTAAAACTTAAAGGCAACTTTAGTATATAATAACGATCACCTTTTCAGATTTGCCAGTTTTTTTCATAATGTGTATTTAATGACTGTAAGAGTTTCTTAAATTTCAAATCCAGGTATTATTGTTACGCCTTGGATTGTTTTGGATATAGGATAGATTATTTTGCATTTGTGTATTCTAATGAGGAGGAACTTTTCAAAGCTTTAAAGTATTTTTCAAGACACTTATATTCCAAGATGCCTTGATGTTTTCCTTCACAGTGGATGAGATCCCATGTGATATCATTTAAAACCTTTACTCAGGGGTTTAAATGGTATGGGGCATTTGTATAGGCCCTCTGAACTATGATATACACCAATGAATATTGCTTTTAATATTATTCAAACAGTAAGAAGTCCCTTAATTTATCAGTTTCATGAAATTAAAAATTTAATTAAAAAAAACTAGTTGAGATGTATGCCTTCTGAATAAATATGAAACTTTCTCTGGAAGAACATCTGATTTCCTTCTCTGTGTACTATGTAGGAAATATACATACTGATTTACGGCATGGGATGTCAAACATATTGAAGCATCGTTAAGGGGTTAATGCAGAACACAGATGTTAAAACGAAGTTTTTATGAGTTATTTCATAAACTGTATTTCACATACATTTTAAACCAAAGAACAACGACAGCAAAGAACATAAGCAAGAATTACTTGTTGTCATATTACCTCTTCTTGGTTTACATGTGTATTGACTAAAACTTAGCAGCAGAAACCCCAAAATTAGGATTTCTTTTTTAACCTGGACGTGTAGCTGACAAGAATATTTGGCAGAAGTACTTCTGATACCCTAGCTTGAAGAGGTACTGGCAAGGGAAGTTTCCAAATATTTGAAACCAGTAATGCTTCAGGCAGAACGTGTGAACAAAGGAACTGTTGGGAACTCACAGATAAAGTACCTCAGGACATTATTGTTGTTGTGTACTATTATACAAATGTAAAACTCTTCATGGTTTTAAAAATTCCCACAAATTGTATCTTGAAGCATAACACTTCTGCTGACATTTTGGAAGATTTAGATGGCTTTTTGGAAAAAAGTATGTCAATAACAATTCATTATCACTTACATTATCAGGCTCTTGGGAGAAGTTTAGTAGACTCTAGGAAAAATGATGTATTTTGTAGAATGTTAATAATAGTCTAGTCATTACTTGCCATTATGTTTTTATTTCAGTAGGGTACCCTTACAGTCAAGCTCAAACATAGAATAAGTTTTTATCCTAGGTGATTTGAACATGTTAAATTAGCTATCTTACCAGCAATTTTCTAACCCGTGTCCATGTCCTCGCCAGTCCAACACCTCAATAGTTCTCATTTGTCTGATTTAAAAGCAGAGAGACTCCTGTAAGTGGGAACTCACCTCGCTTGGGAAGGCTATATGATTCCTGAGTGAATCTGGGTATTAACGTACCTAGGCTAAATTAGTTTACTAGGGCTTTTTGGGGGTGGGGTGGGGCACATTAGTATGCAATATTGACTGTATGGGTAAGTCTCTTGGAGATTTCTGAACTTTCATGTCTTAAAGTTCATACCAAACCGCTTAGGTCTAGCATCTGTGTTTCTGGGTAACTTCGGTCATCTAGGAAATCTAAACAGAAAAGTACTCCCATTGACTAAAGCAAATAAGACAATTTTTTTCAAGATACTTTAATAATGAACAGCACATAATTCCTATTTTGATTATGCAAAATGATACTCCTGTTATGGTCATATACTGTTGTATAGAAAACAGATGCTACATCCAGAGCTGAAGGTTAAAGTTGTGCAGAAATATTTTTTTATCGTTGATAATATGCATTAATGTTTGTGGGATGTATTCCCTAAAGAGGAAGTTCAACCAAATATAAATGTTGGTGATTTTTACAAGGAAATTCAAAATGGCTCATTTTTCATTTTTTAAATAATTAAATGGCCATGTTTAAGTTCAGTGTTACTTGATGTATATATTAACTGAAAGAGTACAGTCTGTATTTGCAAATGAGTGTTTTTCTGACTTTAAAGCAAAATTTTTCTTTGTTAATTACCAGATTTGTATTTACACATTCAGAGATTAATTATTTCTGTGTTAGAATGGCTCTGAATTTGAGAGGTAGAGTGAGAAAAGAGGGTAACAAGAAATAAACCAGTCACCTCCAAAGTAGGAAGTATAACCTAATGATTTTTTCTTTTTTTTTTTTTTTTAATTCAGCTGTACTGAGAATTAGCTGTGGAGAGATTTGTGATTGGCATAAGCACTACAAAAGATATAGGGGTTTTAGTATGTTGGAAACAACTGATTAACCTACATCAAAGCTCTTTTCAACTTGTCTGCTATCATTACAGCTTGGAAACTTGCTACCATAAGAGAGACCAAAAGGAATACTGGAGATCAAATTACTTTTTAACATTTTGCTAGGAGAGCAGAGTTACACTGACTCCAGCTATTTTATGGTTTTCTGTAAGTTCTTTGTGGCTATTTCCAGCTTGAATTGAAACAAATCAGTATTAGTAGCCAAGAGGAAAGGTAGTTACTGGGAAACAAATACATGAGTAATAACTATGGATACCATTAGCATATGAGTGTCAGTATTTCTTGGGCTCAGACCCTTTATGAAGATGTCAGTTGAGTTGGTCCATTTGCATCAGTATTAATGATCATAAACATCTGACATTTTCAATAAGAAACAACTGTTTTAGTTGAAGAAATTATCATTGCAAGCCATGACTTAAAATCTTAGTACCATAAAAAAAATCATGCTGGTACCTGTAGCTGCTGAGACTAAGGAGGTAAGGATTATACTTAAAAGTTTTGTTAAAAATGAAACAAATTAATTCTGGATCTTGTCATTTAATTTGATACAGAAGTTCACTACAGATCTGTTCCAAGCCAGTCATTCTGATGTCAATACCTGCAAAAGGTGTTGACACGAGCATTTCTAGAAGCATTTCTACTTCTGTTACTCAGCATTTCTTTAGGACTACTTAAATATACCCAGGACAAAAAGGACTTTGATATGTAGTTTAGTAGCATTGATGATCTTCCAAGTATGTTAACTTACTGTAGCAAATCTCCATCTACCATTTCTCCTTGTACTGTAGCAGATGTACATTACCTTGTTAATTTAATCCTTTTGCTTTGATTTCTGGATTTCTGGTGTAACTGTTCTTGTTCAGGGCTAGCTGTGATTTTTCTGTTCTGGAAAAATTGTGATAGTTGAGTTTTCCTCTGAAAATAGTCTCATAATCATAATACGGAGTCATTTTTTTAAAAATATCCATTTTATGCATTTAAAAAGTTGAAGCATCATTAAGCTATAAATAACTAAATATCCATTTTAGTTTTGAACATTGACTAGTTGTGATATTATTTGTGATATCAGATTAAAAATTATGTTGAAATTCTTACTATTGCAGGTAAAAGATACGTGTTTAATCTAACAATAAAGACTGTGTGCCTTTGTCCAAATAAAACTAATTTCTTTTTAATCCAGGCTGACTACTTATTGTGTTTAAAGGAGAATTAATATTGTCTGACTAGAATTCTAACTGGATTTGTCACCCATACTGGGAAGCTCCCAGTCTGAACCGTTAGAATTATCTTTACATTCAGATTCAATT